TACTGCTTTTGTTCGCAATCTTTCAGGATCAAAACGCAAATAAGTTGGAAATAAATAATTAAAATTCAAAATTCCCACTGAAACACCAGGAACTCACATCCGCACGTGAAGCGTTAGTTGGCATGATGAGATCCCAGGCGCTTCCCATGACGGGCCATTGTGGATAGTTTTTCTGTCGATGATCTTTCTCGAAGTTTCCTCTCAGCTATAAGAAGTTTTGCTTATTTTCAATGAACATTTCATATCTTAAAGCCATGGAAACGCTTGTTGAGGATGGGCGGTTGTCGCTAACATCATCGTTGGAAGGGCTGAATGGGGTGTGGCCGAACGCCTTCTGGCAGCCTTTCCACCAGTGACACCGGCAACAACCGCCCGCCCCCAGTAATCGTGCTCACTACCTTTGAAAGCACGGCCCTTACTAATTACGCGATGGCCACCAGTATACCTTCGTTGTCACTCCTCTAATTTTTAAGACGATTACAACAATACCTAACTCCACCCAAAGAACCTGATGGATCACGTCTTTCCCATTTAGTTTTCAAGTGCTATTGAATTATGAATTTTTGCTCATTCATACCAGTAGCAACCCTTGCTCTAATGGGGAATTTATGCAGTATAGGACCTCCTGAACTCCCATACATTTTTGTATTTCGACAGTATAGGAAACTGAGAAACGAACCCCGATCATAAGTCCGAAGCTGATGGCTATCAGAAGTAATGGAATGAGGAACTCCATCAGTGTGAAAACTGGGGAACGAATTTGTTGCAGCCAGTTCTTCCACAGCAACAGCCTTAGCTGTGCGGCTGCCCCCATCGCACTGAAATGTGTACATGAAACAGGATTGATCTGATGGTATATGAAGAGAGCCAGAAAGACTCAAACTTCACGTGATTTCAGTAAAGAACCGATGCTAGATCATCTCAACTTTGGCAGAGTAAATTTGACAACTTTATCTGAGTTCGGCAAGAATAAGAAAAGAAGGGAAATGAGAAATGGTCACAGAAGGAAAAAGATGATGATGACGGTGATGATGATTTCGATGCTGTGGGACTTGCTCAATATGCTCAAAAAAGACTAGACAGTGTTGGCGCAGGAGACGGAAATTTCGGCAAGAAAGGCGCCAGAGTCGTTTTGGATTTCTAGTAGGAATCCTAGGATGAACAGCAGAGATGAGTGTCCGTCAATAGCTAATGACTTTTTGCCGTTCATGCCATACTGCGAATTATAAGTAGCGGTGTTACGTGCGTCTCCTTAACATTATACGTATAGGAGACCCTACAGTAGGTCTCATTCGCTACTGACTAACATC